GTATTAAGATCTATAGCTAGACGATACACCTTATGCCGAAACTCATGGTTCCTATAATTTTAATTGATGTGAGGAGCGTTCTTAAGCATAGTTTGACCAAGATTGACCCTAGTCGACGTAGTTGATCGTAAGTTGACTTTTATGTTAGCATTTGGGAGAAATTAATCATTTATATGCTATTCGCTATTATAAATTGTAGGTTACCAGTCAGCGATATTAGTTAAGCAACCTTCGTTATCAGGTGAGTCTTTATGAGACTTACAATGGGATGCATACCTATGTATAAATTTATTTTCGAGTATTATATGATTTATATGGTAATGTATACATATGCATGATGTTTCAGTTTACATAAATGATATATTTTACATGTATGTTATTTTGTGAATGGTTACATGCTATGTATTTAATCAGTTTTCGAATAACTCTAGCATGTTATTCCATATTAAAGTTTTATGATTCAAGGGTGGGCATTTGACCAGTAAGTCACGACCAGTATAAAACACGACCCGGATAAGTGGGTGATCAATTAAGACTGACACATCAACCCAGGGCGTGTTTGTGACTAAATGACACATACCCGACTAAACATTATATGAGATCTCTTATTTTAAGTGTTTTAAATATATATATTTTTAAAAGTTGTGACTTCTATTATAAAGCATGCATATATGTCATATATATGTCAAGATATGATTTTATTCACGTAAATCATGAACTCACTGAGCTTTATAAACTGATTATAGTATGCATCTCAGGGCCATGTAGTTCGAGGTTGGATAAGGGCAAAGGACACGCTTAGAGAGTTGCTAATTATCATCTTTTTTTTTAGTCTTTTGTCTAACAGTGTTGTGTCGATCTTTTGTAACTTAACCTGTAATGAGGTGGATTAGAACTTAAGTTAATTTTTGGTTGATTCAAAGACTTCCGCTGTAAACGGTTTAAACGATTTTATTTTAGCCGTCATTTGATGTATTTATTTAGGAATTTGTTTCAGATTACATAACATTCTCAAAAAAAAATGAGGGCGTTACAAAGATCCCCCTCTTTCCTTCTCGCCCCGTGTCGCGTTCCTGTATGCCAAGAGCAAGATCCCCCTCTTTCCTTCTCGCCCCATGTCGCCACCCAAGGGGCATAGGTACCTAAAAAAGGGATCCTATACTTGTTTGCCTAAGATAATAAGCTCATAAGCCTGGTTTTCATGGTCAAGAAACAAAAAAAAGACTTCCACCTCCAAATTTAACTTGAATGTAACTCCCTATCTTTTTGGACGTGAAACAATATCAAACCAAAATACCCAAACAAGCATTATCCTTAAAAAACGAGGTGTTCATCACGAATCAAGATTTGGCCCGAACTGTTCAGCAAACACTTTGTACTCGACTTTCTCTTAGACAAAAATCCTTGTAGACAAAGCCAATCATCAGTTCCCAACCATGGGGCGAATTGCTTTCCATTTCTAAGTTCATAGCCTTCCCCATAGCTTCATCGATACATGTAGAGGCAATCAAGAAAGCCGCATAAGATAAATATATAACCTACAGAAAAGTGGGCTAATCCAACCAAAAAATTATTAGTTAACAAACTTCATTACATTTTAATACATAAGAGTAAAGAGAGTACATCGTTTTTTTTTTTAATTTTACGTAAATATAATTAAAACTCAATAAAATAGAAAATGTTATGTTCTTTAATATGTTTACAATACACCAACATATGATACAAGCCATAGCAAAGCGTTAAGAAACAAGAGACTTTTCATGAAGCATTGGTTGAAGCATATGCAGCATCAGCAGAAGAGGTATCCATATCATTCAAACCCAACTCCTCATTCTGTTCCCATGATCTCTCATATTCGTTAACTGAAATTTTTTACCATTAACAAACAGATTAATAGAGATAACAATTTTAACTTTGCGTACAGCAACTACGTAAAGATCGTAAAACTGCACACATTCTAGTTTGGGTTGCGTTTCAGTAGAAGCACCAAATTTTCGTGATATATTAGTGACACCACTTTAAAGGTTCGGTTTGTGGTTCCTGTGAAGAGTTGCTGTGTTTTTCCTATGAAGGTTCGTTGTGTTCTTTTTCATGTGAAAGTTTGGTCCCAGGAAATTCGGTTGGGGATGTGTTTTTGACATACTTGCTTTGTGTGGGTATTGCCTTACCTTGTGCATATGTCCAAAGTACCTATTAGTTACTCCCTCCATCCCAAAACAAATGTCCACAAGGAAAAATGGCACACAGTTTTAAGAAAGCATTATAACACTTTAAATCGACTAAATTACACTTTTACCCTTTATAATATAGAGAGAAATTAGAATAGGAAAGTGGACAAAAGAAATTGAACATTTATTTTGAGACAAACTAAAATAGGAATGTGGACATTTATTTTGGGTTGGAGGGAGTACTATTTTTCCATATTTTTCTATTGCTTTGTTGACCACATGCTTATCTTTTTTTCCTGCTACCATTTGCCCACACTCTTGCACAAGCCGGGGATCTTTCACGGAAACAGCCACTCTACTCTCAGGTAGAGGTCAGGTTTGCTCACATCTCACCCCTCCCGAGCCATACTTTTTTAGTGGGATTTACTTGGTCCGTTTAAGTCTGATTTGGTTTTGTGCGGTCCTGTGAAGGTTCAGCAAGATCAACTTATCCAATGTCTCCAAAGTGGTCTCATGGGTCTCACAAAAACTGGATGTTCTTACAAGGAAGTCTTCTAATGTAGAAACTATCCATTTGTGCAAAAATTTAACACCAAAACAGATCCAACCAATGAAGTAGATCGAGTGTTCCAGAATCCCTGCTTAAAAGCTTAACCTAAATTCATTAACATGGGCTAAAACCCAATGGCAAGAGAGGTGAAGTCTAAGGAAGGTAAGATGTGCGCGGACCTAACATCTACCCAACTAATGAAGTGTGCCCCAAGAGTCTTGTCTCTTGTTTCTTGTTTCATGTTTTTTTCTCTTACCTTTTCCTTTTGCTAATTCCTCTATTCCTTTGAGGAAACACTTTATTTCACACATTTTTCGCAAAGCCGTGTCTTCATGGAAACAACCCCGCCTCTGGGTAGAATACTGGGCTCGTTTGATTTAATTTAGTATACTAGGTGCTATCAATCCCTTAGGGCGCACGCGAAGGCCTAAAAAAACTATTTATGATTACACAAACCATATTTATAAAAAAACATAATTAATGACTAGAAATGAACTTACAAGTTAATTGATGGTCATCTTTGATGTCATCAGTCACTGGTGCAATGAAAGAGTTTGCCATGGCATCATCTAAGACCAGCGTCCAAGGTTCTTCAATACTCAGAAGCTGTAGGGCATTACTAATTATGTTAAATGAAGTTGAATTATTATGGTCAAACAACAGAGGAAAATCAAAATCCATAGAGTGCTAGCATGGGCAGACCTAGTTAAGAGCATATGGTGGCACATTCCACCACTTCATGGTAATGGAAAAAAAATTGCGATTTTGAAGGGTGGCATCATATCACTTTGTTGGGTGCCCTTGTATTTTTTGAAAAAAAAAAACTAAAATAATGGCACAAGTTATTTGTTAGACGGCTAGACTTGGACCATATCTCCTCTATATATGTTGGAACCTCCCTTCTCTCTTTAAGGGCTCTTTTGGAGGGTAAATCTGGGGGTTCCACGTAGCCTCACAATCTTGATGACAGAGATGGTTTGTTAGCGTAGCTGCCTTTGTCCAAAGGGTGCAGGTTCGAGTCCCACATTTTTCAAATTTCTTACTTTTCAGCTTAAATTTCGTGTTTTTTTATAGATTGTGTTCTAAAAGCATTTTGGAGAAAAGACCATCAGAGTGTTTGAACACAGGTTCTTTTTGTGCAAGGGCAAGGAACCAACCAGCAGGTTTGTAACAATTTTATGTAAATTTTCTATGTATTTCTTTTTTATAATCAAATGATGCCACCACTTGAAAACTTTTTTGGGTCCTCCTCTGAGTGCTAGAGCATATCTATTTCACCTTATACCTACATGAACACCATCAAAAGCCACCCAGTATTAGAACTTAACCAAATTACACTTCCCAAACACAGTAATTATCACATAAATAAAATAAGCTCTGTTTACATTTGTTCAATCATTTTTATTGACATGTCACTTTTCCAAAGGTCATAAACTAGATTAACCAAGATGAAACGAAATTTAGGTTGGAGAACTGAAATACTTTTCATCACAGTCCTTCCCCAGTAGTTTGACTTAATAAACGAATATCAAAAACTTCGTTTATCGATCAAAATACGAGATTTAGATAAAACATGATGACATTTAGATATAACATGTTGGGTAGAAATTTCATCTTCCTATCCTTGCAAAAGGGTTTAGTAGAGTTCCATTATTTCTACTACGTGGTCATTTTCTTTCCTCCCGTCCAAAAACCATATCTTAATAATGAAACAAGGTGCACCCTCTGTCTATCTTCCTCTAAATTATTTTAATTTAATTCCAACTTTAAATGATTTCACAGTAAACAAGTTCACATCAACCATGTTTCCCTTAGGGTTAAGAACAGGCAGCTGAGACCATGGCAAACATGCCACGTCACTGTTTAAAAGATCATCCTGCTTTTATGACCAACTTCTTATTGTTTTTTTTTGTTGCTAATTTGAGGACGGTTCTTCAAGTAATTTATCTTTTCTTTTGGATGCATAAGGAGATGCAGTCAAGACTGCATACCATAAAGGAAGTTGGTACTTACACAAAAATCCTAAGGTAGCATCTGGTTAGTCGGCATCTGAAAGAATTGGAATGGTAAAATCCCATTGACCAAATTGCATTCATGCATCCGGTTCATTCTGAGTTTTGATACAGAATTCCAATTCCACATATGGTGGAATTCAACTTCACATATGGTTTTCATTCCTTTGGCCACCGCTACCACCACCACCACAACCATCGCCACAGTCGCCGTGGCCGCCACTGTCGCCGTGGCCACCACCATCATTGTCTCCACAACACCACCACCACCACCAACATGCTAACATGTTGATATTCAATTTCAACCTAGTCCACCAGCTGGAAGAAGTCTTTAGCAGCTGACACATGATGTGTTTGTATACTGGGAGTCATGGTCTCATAGACATCCCTGGTATAAATTTGGCTTGCTCAATCAAGTGTACCCAGCTCATAGCATCATTCTGCAATTTAATGAGCTTCTGATGGTATACAGGCTATTACGATCTCTGATATGCTTTTCTTCATCAAGAAAGAACAAAGTCAAAAAAAGTTATGGTCTTTCTCCCTATACATGCAAAAGTTTCAATGTCATTGCATTCACCAAGGTCCTATGAACTGTTTAAGTAAGGCTTTTCAGAAACTGTTTTCTCCTCTAATAGATGCACCTAAAGCAATATCTTCAGGCGTCTTTAACAGTTCTTTGTCAGACTCTTCGCATCAGTACTGAGGAAAGTTGGGGGATCTTGGAGTTATGTTGTGAGTATCCCTATCCTTCACTGACAAAAAGATGTAGTTGTAAATGATACTTTCTCCAGCCCAAACAAAATCACTGGTTCCTTCATTGACTGTCGCTACGAATTTACCATGACTTGATGCATAAGGATGTGATATGTTCTTCTATCCAAACCTTTAACATGATTCCAGAAACATACATTCTCTCCCATGAAATTTTATATATCGAGTTTGAAATGGTATACACTACACAGAAAAATATCTGCTCCTATGAGCAAGGAAAAATGGTGGTGTCGGAAACTATGCCTTGTCACCTTCTAGAAGCAACTTTTAGAACTTAACTGTACCCCGCCAATTTTACAGGTCATCACTTAACAAAGAAACCAAAAATTGGTTTAATCCCCATAAGCCAGATACAAAATACTAACTTGAAGCTGGTGACCAGGGGTCACTTAAATGATCTCTTCAAGAAATGGATCGTCACTTAGGAGGAGAGTTGGGCAAAATGTTTTTTCACCATGCAACACGAGACACATTTCTTTAGAAGACAATTTCTTTCTATCCTATTAGGGAAGGCTACCTGCAGCATTCTACTATCACCACCATTTTCGCCTTTTTTCTGCCACTAATAAATTTTATCTCCATCGTTGCTTCATTTTGTACTAACTGAGTATGAACAACTTGCTTTGTCTTTAGCTCTTGATTAAGATGATATCTTAGTGGTTTTATTGTATATTCTGTACATACGATACAAGTTTCTATAATGTATTATGCATATGGATAAGTACATGTGTGTGTTTATATTTCGTCAGTTAATGCATGCCCAAATTAATGTTTCGATACAAATATTTAATTGAACATTTTCTACTGCCTTAATATATGTAAATATATAAGGAAGGGTTCAAAATTGAACACCGTTTTACTATTAGTCAATCACATGTGATGCCCTAGTCCATCCCAAGTGATACTAAATCAAAGACACGGGCGACCGAAGGTCACAGCCCAAGTTGAACGCACACCACCAGGTCCCCTCACGTGTATTATCACAAGTGATAAGGGGGTTCTCAAAATGAAGGTGTTCTCATTTGAACCTCCACTTATATATATATAGGATGTTCGTTATCACAAGTCACTAGTGGTTTGACAATGTATTCGCCCTATGAATTTTCTGAGACATTGTTCAGAAGTAAATCATGCCACTATGCATCTAATAGTAGAGAATGATTGTTTCCAAGATAACACTAGAGAGATTGCCAATCTTAAGTTTCACACAGAGAAAGGATGATTATCTAAGATGGAAGATATAATTCAACCTAGCGCTCAAAATGCAGACTATAATATGAAGGGGAAGAAGAATAAAGTGAACAATATACGATTGGGAAGGAAAAAGATATGGAAATTCTTGACAAGGGAATTATAGTGAGGGATTGAGAAGACAGAAATCTGGTGTTCAGAAAAAAGTAGAAACGGCTTGAGATTCCTAAGAAGCCCTCAGTTACCTTCTGAAATTGAAACCAATAAAACCTACACCACTATATTTAGGGACGCTTGGGATGCATGGATACATGTATTAGCCTAATATGCTAAATATTTGTGCAAGAAACCATTAATAAGATTACTAGCCATTCTAAGTTTCAAGTCCCATTTTAGTAGTTCTGTTTCCAAGAGGGTCCCTTTTCTACATTCAGATCATGGAATGGCATAATTTACCTTTCCATTGCTATTCCATCAACCATCTAACGATAGAAATGTAAAGAGAAATTGATTCGAGACCATATTTAAATACTGCTAAAACATAAAAAATTTATCTTGAATTTCCATGAGGCTCCTCAAAGGCATACCCTATAGCAGGTTGCTGTGGTGGACAAGCTGTGAGAGAGAGTTCCTCCTTCCCAAATAATGAATACGTTTACAAATAATATTAGAAAAATTACCACCATGTGGCAATTACAAGACTCGTACCTTGACAAGTCTTGCTCTGAAGTCCAGCCATCTGCTTCTTCTATCCTCATCAAGACTATCTCCGAAAGTGAACCCATGTACTCTTTCAAGACCTGCAACATACAAACCTTATTTAACAAAAAAGGGTACCATATTTGAACACTTTGAAGGTCAAACAACAGTAAAAGGAAACCAAATGTTGGCAGGATAAAAGCTTTCGCTTATTGTGTTAAAGCAGGTCCACTCAGTAACTATTCTTTTCCATGTACAACATATTGTGTTAGCCCTGTTTCAGTCATTGTAGGTCAGGTTTTAGTTCCTGAAAATCCAATGACCTTAGGGATATTTGCAAAATTTATAAGGATCCGGAGCTGCTATAGATAAAAACATCAGGGTTAGGTTACAACTTTTCAGAAAGTTTAGGTGCAACTGAAAATTTTCAGAGAAGTCAAGCATCAATCTGCAAATTTCAGAAGTTAAAAGAGCAGATTGTCTCATCTGAAGCTTCAGCCATTACTTTTAGAGCCCAACTTGGTTAAAAGAGATTGTACTTATTCATCATTCTCTTTCTCATATTCATTCCACTCCATACCACATTAGCACTGTCAAGTGACTCTTCTACCTGCTTTAATACACGTGCCCCATCCCAAATCATTGATTCTATGTGTTTCTGATCATATAACAGCAACACAAGCACTGCTTAAGATAAAACGATCTCATCAAACAGCTTTTAGAATAGCTATTGGAGTCTCTTGTATCAATACCAACATTTCTTCTTATTTATCGCCGTAATGTGTTAAATGTTACTTCTCTTTACATCCAATGTGATTGCACCTTCACTATGGAATTTTATTTTTTGTAGAAATGGAATAAAAAACCGTCGAATATCAAAATAAGTTGAAAGGAAACTTTAAGTTTGTCCTTGATGTCCAAAATGGACACGAGGCATTGAATGTGTCATTCTATTTCTTGTCATATTCAATCCCCAATTTCTTTATTCCTGGATATACCTAGACAAAAATAAATCACCATATCTCATATTAATTAACTAAGGATGCATGTGTTGCCTCACTATATTCTATCAAGGGGCCTTGAGGACATCACCCTTTGTCACACAAGAGGGACAAATCCTATCTTGATCCATGGTAATATTACTAACACCCCCAACCACCATTATGTCACTCATGACATGATTAGAATAAGTGTCAAAGTGATCACTCACATGCAACAACCTTCATGATCTCGTACCACATATAAATTACAACATGAGAAACACTTATGACACTTGTATAACATCTATCTCATAACAGGTCCATCTAGTACACAAGTTCCCTAACTTGTACCCATAAGTGAATTCTATATCTAATATGAATCCCTACATATGCTAATCATTACCGTATTACTTTAACCCAAGTCCAATGTAATACTCGACTAGAGATATTTAAGAATACAATTATGGGTTATTATCATGTTCAAACGTTACACAAGTTCAAAAAACGTAAGGTAAACATAATAAACCGAACAATTCCCTTTTTATTAATAAGTTTCATGACTCGATGTTCAAAGTACAATGTAATTGATTCTTGGGCATACCCTTAACACATACATGCTCAATGTGAACTTAGATCTTTTGAGAAAATTCTCAATAAAATGACGTGTGCATTATACTGTTTCGGACTGAAATAGGAATTACGTAGTGAAGCAAAATTAAGAACATAGTTGTCAAGGGCGTTTAGTGAATATTAGTTAGCTGTTAAAATGAATGAGTCAGGAGGGAAGGTAGCAATTAGTCCTTTAGTTCTATTAGAAGTTGTGAGTCAGCTGCAGGTAGGTGGAGAGTTTGGAGTATAAATAAGAGAGAGGTCAAGAAGTTAATAGAGGTCTTTTGTGTTAATAAAAGTGTAAAGGCGAAATCCCTTTCGGAGAGTTCCAGCCTCTTAAAAGCTGACCGACTAATAAATCTTTCATTTTACTGTCAATTCTTTTTATATTTGGTGCTAAGATCGTAGCAATGTGCATTGGTGTCCATGTCCATCCATGAATTAATTAACGATACATTTGTCAAGTTCTGAAATCTGTAAAAGTAGTTATAAATTGTTTGCATATTGAAAATGAAGTAGTACATTTAGCACAACAAACCAATCCCTAGAGGTCCCTTCATGCTCCAAGAAACCTTAAGATCATAGCTTCCACCAACATCCAAATGAAAACAAGCTTGAATGAACTCTCATATACAAGGCACATGCGTAGTTACTTAAGGTCACACTCTTACTCAAAACCTAGGGTGTCACTTTTTCTAGAAGGTATAATACAACTCATGACATTGAAAATTGAATAAAGGTTCTTTTGTTGGTAGACTATGCCAGTAAGATGGAATCAAATCCGGTTCCCATATTTACCTGAACCTAACATTTTACCGAATGATACTAAAACACATCAATAAGAGAGGAAAAAAGGTACAAAAATTCACTCACTTTCACTGATCTTGGTGATCAAACCTTCTACAGTTGTCACAAGACCTCCTAAGGTGCCACCTGCAAGCTCCAAATCGATCTCTGGGATCTTTACACTTGCAGTATCCGACTGGTCCACACCAAACCGTTTTGTTAGGAAAAGCACCAAAATTACAAGAGAAAGGTCGAACATCCAAATAAAAATTAATAAGAGCAACTAAAATTCCTATTTTGGGCAAGAGCATGATTATGAAAGCCACAGAAAGAGACAATGGTGGAAACCATATGTCCAGATCTATTGCAATTAAGCAACACTATGTGATGACATGATCATGTTTCATAATCAAATTTTAAAATAAAGCAGGCACCTTATGATGTTGAACAAATAGCTATATAGGCTACCCGACGTTGCTTATGTTACATCCACAAAATCGATAATAATAAGCAGAGACAATGTGCCAAATAAAAGCTGTCTAAGTCTCTATAAGACAATCAATTGGCAAATGTTCTGGGATAAGTAAGCCTTGGCATCTAGCAATGAATAGATTGGAATAGAATGAGCAACAATTTACTAATTATCTACAGTTCAAATTCAACCAGCTGCAACGCAAATTCTTAAGAGGAAGGATGGCATTCTAGCATCATAAGGAAAACAGAAGTTGGCTGATAGGGAGAAGTATAAAATCTCACTCATGCCCTTGTATAAACAAAATAAACAAGAAAGATAGAGTTTCGCATATGCCAGAAAATAGGGCCAAATAATAGGGCAGAGAAAATGACCCCAACTCTTGCATCTCAAAGCAGACGAAGATGTTCTATCAATCAGTAACAGTATTATCATCATAGACATACCTTTATCACATCACGGCTTAAATCTTCAACATGTTTCACCAACAGGGTCACTCTCTTTCCTTTTGCAGGTATAGCCCCACCTGCCTTCAACTACAAGTAACTGAGCAGTGAGCAACCTTGAAGGATATGGATGAGATGGGTAAATACATAACATCAAAAGGAATGCTCACAAGTCACAAACCTCAGAATTTCTGTAGCCACAAGCATCACAAGTAGATGCCATCACAATGACTTCTTGAAAGTAAGGAATCTCTGTCAAAGGTCAAGCTAAACAAACCTTAAAGAGATGCATGCTTATAAAAAAATGAAGAATCATTTCCTATTACTGGAGACTTTGTGACGTTTCTCATATATCTATGTAGCAAAAATATGGGAACCAGGAACAAGAGAATGAACAAACCAGGTTGTATATTCAACATGACTTGCTATAAAGAGGCAGTTATTGCATCACTGGATATTTCATTTCTCATCTCCAATACAGAACTATACTTCTGTAACAGATTCCCAATATATTAAATGATCTACTATGTTTTGATTCACCTGCTGCCAATTACTAATTAAAGGGAACGCTTGGCAACTAGGTTTTCTGCAAGAGGCTACTTTCGAATCTGATTGGATAGATAGTAATACCTTCAACCTACATCTTATTTCCATTCTGAGCATCACCACACCCAAAAAGCTAGTGACTTCTCAGTGGAACCAAGATTGATAAAAATTTCCAGGTGATGCGCTTTTCATACCATAATACAGGAACATATAGGAGTCAGACAGTGACAGCTAGTCCGCATTTATCATTTCTTTCAATTTAAGGTGACAACCATTACACACCACAAAGCAATAAGAAAATATTACAAGGAAAGTCAACAAGTGAAAACAGGTTTTACAACCCAAAAATAAGTTGGAAGGCATTGAAGAAGCAGTAGCAATAAACTACATACACCTACATCTCGTCAGCATCTCCATGTTTTCACTTCACAAGCAACAGAAGGAAAAAGGTTCCAGCAGATCACTTTCCTTCACCACTTTCATGACAAGACTTGCAATACGACTCCCATCAACTACTAGCTTGTGCATGATCCATAAAAACTCTCTCTACCTTCCTTGCATATAGAAGACAGGATTCTGGTTGCACCATCAATAACTCCCTCAAGAAAATAATGGTGTTCACATTTTCTACAAACATCATAATTCAAACTTCCAGAAACATGGCTTCCCGTATTTAATAAACCACATAGTTTATATCCCACATGTATGGACAAGTATAGAAGATTATTTTGCCACCATATCTTGGTAGGTTGCTAGTGATAATAACCCTCATCTGAGAGGAGAATGCCAGAGAGATTGTGTCGGATGCCAAAGGTTAAAAGAACAACAAACTTAACCCTGGTTCGCTCTCTATATTATGGTAGCTGATTAGTGAACAATCATAAGGATCAAGCAAAACAAATAGAGTCTAAACAAGCACCACAAGACAAAGGAAGGAAAAGAGGATACTGGTCACAAACATTCGAGTCTCGCACCTAACAGCACAGGCACCACATGTTGATGGGAAAGTCATCACCTGCTCAGAGCATAAGGCACAGATGATAATATTCTTTTCAAACTCATCACACAGAGAAGATTATAGTACCTCTTCTGGTGCAGTATAGCGAAACAGAGCTTCTGCAAATTCTGCATTATTACCCTGAGCAATAGCTCGTCGGCCAGCAACTGCTCCAACTGATCCATGGGGTTGGGATGTTTGATTGTTTGATGATGCATCGTTCCCATGTTCTGTCGTTTGTGATTGGTCAACAAGATATCCCAGCAAGGCTTGTTGCTCGGGCGTTCTCTCATAGAAATCAATAGTTAATGAAGGATCAGGAGATGGAGCATACCTATTACAAATCACTGCGGTCAATATCTTACAATATGCAATATGTATGGAACAACTGATATAAGTACAAACACAGAATGATACAGTTGATAAGATTAATTCCATATTGCATATACAATCTGCTTTCAAATGCCTGAATTAAACCAGATTACATCTGAAAGAGACTTGCAGGAAATACAAACTCAATGAAGTCGGTCTGATTGGAAATAGTAGGCAGAGGTCCATTACTGCGGGTGCAACAAACTGAAGCCTCGGAATGGCTGGAAGTTGTCAAAATTCAATCAAAGGTAACAAACCCACAGGACTTTTGTTGGTGTGAAGCTCATATCTAGACTGATATAAGATATCGTCAAACTAAGTAGAGAACTGCTGAAACAATAAAGTGCAATGATGGGTCGTGGACTGATATATGAGAAACCCTAATAAATCTTAAATTGATGGTGACTTCTGCTACCGACTTAATAAAACCTAATATAAGATATTGTCAAACTAAGTGTGGGATATTGTTTCCGAAGCTATGAGCATGCTTCATCTTCTAAAGGATAAACTATCACAATGTCCACTATTGTTCTGATTAGAACAACCAGCTCATCTATATACACAACCCCAATACCAGTACTGGCCTCTCTCCCACCACAGACATCTTCCACTCCACCAATCCTACCCCTAACCACTAAATCATTTCATGGACCCAATTCAAAAAAATAACCTCCAAAATAGTTCATTTCCAACGTGAAAAGGTTTATACTTCAAAGGTAATAATTTTTTTTTGTCAAACCCTTGTTTGATCACTCAATAGCAATCCAACCCATATTCCACTTACACTAATACGAGTCATCCAGATCCCTTAAACAACCAAGAAACAACCCCAATTTATTCCCCTCTTTCCCTTCCCAACCTTCTCACTCCACCGAAAAATCCAAGTATCCAACCACCATTCAGACCAAGTGTTGGTCCCAAACAGATCTAAAGAGTTTTAAAGGTAACAGTTTGTAAAAGGGGAGGTTGAATACGAACACACAAATTTTCACTTTTTAAATTTTTTTATTGATAAAAAGAAGATCATTACAGAATTTACAGATTGTTGCGAAAAAAGATAAGGTAACGACCTAATCCAAACAATCTAAGAAACACACAGGAATGCACAAAGAAGGTTAAGAACAAGAAAGAAGAGAGTTAGAAGAAGAAGAAGAAGACGATGTTGAGAAGAGAGATCTTCTCGAGTTATACCCATTGAATTAATGCAAGTCAGAGCGTACAAGCCACGTGGCAAACTTCTAGTGGAGAGCTTGTCCTTTGTCTTCAGACATGCAGGCTTTTGGCCGCATATGAACAGTTGACTTTCACAAAGTTGGTAAAGCAAGTTTGGAGACAATAAAGTAACTCCGTACATGTACCTTTCTGTATGAGGTATGGGGTTGTCCTTTTTGTGGATATAGGATAAGACAAAAACTAATCTTGTAGACCAATATTTATTTGATCGCTGACACTGATTCATCTCTGAGGGTTCATCAGTGTTCGCTGATTCTTGGTCAGATTTCACAGTTTGATTTAGACATTCTGTTATCACTGAATCCACTTCAGATCACGAACTGTTCTCTTTCTTCAGCTACTTCTTCGACATCGCTAAAGGTTCCTTTGGTCTGAGTTTTGTCTTTGGAGAATACTTGTTCTTTGAGACGTTTACAATACATATTCAGGGATCACTGAACAGATTCAAAGATGATCGCTGAAACTGAAAAAAGAGCAGGACAAGTATTTTACACTAAGTATGGAGGGTCATCATCAAATCACTGAGAGAGGTTGGATCAACACCATAACCATGTTGTCATTTGCTCAGACTCCACATCCACTAGCATAGCATCTGGTATACATGATCATCAATGCTTTTTCACTCACTGCCATCGAAGATGGTGGCAATAGCCACAATTTTGTCCTTCCTAATTGTCACAAACTTTCTCTCTTCCCACCACATGACTCACTTTCCATGTCCGAGTAAGCAACAGTTATGTAAATAAGTTTGTATTGATATTTGCACTCTGCTTTTTACGATTTTTTGTTGATTACATGTTTGTTGGACGTTTTATCAACCTAGTAAATTCGATCCCGACTTCTTCTGCATGCAATTGTTGATTTAGGACACATTTGTTTAAATCTAGAACCATGACCATTTGTTTTGTTGAGTCAACCCCCAACAATCATAACGGTGTAACGAAGAAGGAGGAAATATCCTAACTAAAATTATGCTTTTACATTAGAGACTTAGAGCACGTGTAAAGAAAACGCGATTATTTTGAATTTCACTATTTCAGACACCAAATATCAACACCGAAGATAATTGACTAAGAAAAATAATGCGCACAAACCCTACCCCACCCCATCCCGACCAGATACAAGAAAAAGTATGTAAAGGAAAACGATCAGACAAAAGACAATCAATAGTACGAATCCAAATGCACTTAGCATGAAACAATTAGAAAATATAAAATAAAAAGAAGGCAGGATCTTACACAACAAAAGGTAAAACTTACGGGTTCTCTATAAAGCTGTTGCCAGCGGGATCATCCAGTATGAAGGTAAAAGATGAATTTCCTGTTGCACATGCTCTTAGTTTATGTATAAACTCATCTATAGCCTCAGCAGTCTGAGGATCAACTTTCTGAAAAGGTCCACAATCACTGAAAATTAGGCCGTGGGAACGGTTAACAATGAAATCTTGTGAAAGAGAACCATATGCAATCAACTAGCAAACCTTTCTTTCTTCTTGAAGTGCTTGTAATTCATCCACACCTCGGACCAAAATTCCTTCCACCTGAAACATATATCAAAATTAAGAAAATGGAGCATATCATAAACAAAGTTTTTTCTGCCTGGGTTCTTATTAACAGAATACCTCACAAGTAGTCAAATAGTTAATGAATATATAAATCATTCAACATTCAAAAAGTAAGTGAAGAGGCCAAGATTTATCCAAAGACCAAAAAAAATTTGGCTTCTCAAAAGGAAGCTATTAGATGACAAAGTTTCCGTTGACTTAAGAAGGAAGCTAAGAAGCCATCAAAAGAAGTATGTTAGATGACAAAAAAATATTTGTCAATATTACATAGTTGCACTTTAATTTTGATTCGAGAGTTGTGGATGAGTTCTTAAGGTTATAATGCAAGCAATGGGACAAGTTTTGCCTCTGCGATGTGTTAGGCCGAGCTGGATTTGAACTAGCATCGACACACCTTATTTTAATTTTGAATCCACTTCTTGGAAGAAAATAAGTTTCTTGAAATAATGAGAGGTTTCTTTTATGGGAAATTTGTTTGAAAATTTATCATAATATGCCAAAATGTCTCTCTTATATACATACTTTAGGCATGTGCAAACTACAGTAAAAACTCTTATATATTATAAGTAACAATTCACTAGAAGGCTCTCAATACTAATACATTAGCATCTTTTATTAACATTATCTTTTCATCAAAGGCAATCGTATCCATGTTCTATCCTAGTCTATGATCCATTTTTCTAGCTTCAAGCAACTTATATCTCACATATGAAAGAGTAAGAATCCAAAACATGCATACTCTCATGATATCAAAAATCATAAGCTACATCCAAAAGCAAAATTTTTGATGTAGGAGATCAAAAGCATGAGATAAGGAATTACTGTTGATAGAGATCCACGTTGCGACTCTGGAGGAATCTCAAAATCCAGTTGCGGAATCTACATATACAGGAAAGAGAAGTCAATGAAATTCCACATGCTTATACAAAGATGCATTGTAGCAGCCTTGACACTGCTATGTTATTTGAGATGTAGCATAATAGATGCATTATCGACTTACATATGGGAGCAATTTAACTTTCCTTGAAACAAAAATCTCTATAACTAAGTAAATGATGAAAAGAAACTAAAATGATCATCCATCGTTGTATCATATATGAATATGCATGCGCAATTTGCTAGTCAATTTTCTTCAGAAAAGACAAGAAGTACCTGCTGAAACGTAATTATTGTACTTATAGTTCTAGAAAGTAGTCAAGTGATTTCTAGCACCCAATTACCCACAGCAAGGATTAAGCACATGCTTAAGAAGAGCAACAGGTGATTCATTTCAATATATGAGATGATTATTTTTATATTTAAACATTATGAACTAAAACTTTCATATGATAACATTTTTTACAATTATTTCTCTAATCAAAGGATAAGAAAAATTGCCTCCAAATTGACAGAAGTCAACTGATGAACACAAACTTAGAAAGGTATACCAAGTTTTGCTTAAAAATTAATGGAACAGGTCAAGAACTAGTTGCTAATCGAAGCGGCAAACGATGCTTAACTTCTAGGTGATATATTATGCAACCTTAACTAGTTGAGCAGTGTGGTAACACTTAACACCTAGGTGGCCGCTTAAGTGGTTCTGAGTAGGGATTTTTAGAACACTAATTATACCCATTTCATTTGTACACAAGACAAGAGTCATCTACGTAAGCTACGTCGTCCAAGCACCCTATGGTAAGCTACATAAAATCACCATGCTAAACATAAACCCTAAATGGGCAAAGTATAAATATCCTCTATAAGTAAACAATGTAAGAAATAAAACCAAAAAATAATATTCTGTTAGAAATCCATGATTCTCCAACATGTATATTGTTATATTTATTTGTATCTTGCTCAAGATAATGTATGTTACATCATCAAAAAGGGAACATTCCGGCAAGCAACACACATGAAGCACATACATGAACCTTCATATCTAGCAACAAGAGTATTGATGAACAATGACGAGTATTATGTTTCATCTCTGAATTTCCATTTCATAAACTTGAAAATCTCGTCATTGAGAAATAAATACTAGATAGATGGAGTGGGGAGAATAAAATTACATACCTTAATTGTAGCAGTTTCAGACTTCACTACTTGTCGATTAAGCATCTGCACCGAAAACACATTTAGTCAAGAAAACCAAATGAAATATACAAAATATTTTGACAATCGGTCAAATAGAAAGTAAATGCATTCAGTAGCGTATGGGTTTTCTACCTGCATCTTCCAAAAAAAATTACACAATTCCTAGAAGAAGAATAAAGAGAGAGCCATAGATGTGCCCCTTGCAAGTAATAGACGTGCATGATGCTCAAGAGCTAATGGCTCACACATGGATGGAAATAACAAGATACTTCCACATAGAACAAGCTGGTTAAGAGATTATTTATGGTTAAACTCTTCACAACTTATTAATGGATATAACCCTTTTGGTATGAATAGTTTCAGTCTGGGCATGGATGAGCCAATGCGTAAGTGGTTTATTTAGGATATCCGTCCATGGAAGTTGTACCAGTGAACTGCAGAGAGTGAAGCTGCCCAAAGTACTCGTCGTCACAAGCATTGTATGCTTTACTACATACACCCAAAACAAAAGCCCACATTTGACTATAAGTCTAGGATTGTAAATATTCATTTTAACTAGTCGGTTCCAGATTTAGCCACTTCTCATTGGATTGAAATTTCAAAAGTTATCAAAGTCAATTTATCAATGTTGGTGGAAAACAAATTTTTAATGGTCAGCTTGGTTCTATTTTCTGTCATCAACAATACAAAAGAATGAGCATGCAATCTACATCGGCCAAAAAGATAGTGCATTCTTGCCTAAATTCAATTAACTAGAGGCAAACTATATTGCTAGAGGGAGTAAAGTAAGAAATGCTATGATACACATAACCAACATTAGGAACAACTATCTGACGGAAGCAGTGCACAGATCATATCAGAACAAGTTATCAATCTGCTACACGTGATTTCAGTAAGAGGCCTGATTTTTAAGCCCCTCCTTGTTTAGATAAATAGCTTGGAAACAGTAGCTTTAGACTTGTAAAATAAATCCAAAAACTTGATATACAAATGAAATATATCATATTTTTATGTAAGTGGAACTTTTTGCATCTTGCTCAACCAAATATCACAAACCAGTTGTGGAACCCCTTTGAATCTCCCTACAAGAGTTTTGTAGAAAATATTCTGACGTACATACAAGTTTGATGGTCCTATGATGGTCCATGTCTAGCTCACTTGGGACTCTAACACGACCCCTCAAACAGAGCTAGACCGAAGGCGAAAGAATATGTTGAGTCCCTAAGTGGTGCTAGACCACAAACCCTCATACTAGTCCCTTAAACATAGTCCACTTAGTCCATCTAAAATAAATTTGCCTTTTCCCGTGCAAATTGCAAAAGAGAGAGTCTCAATGAGATCGAGCTAACATATAGCTAAACTATCACATAACAAACGAAAATGTTTTTTTTTTCCGTGAGCTAAGTTTACCGACAACAACCTTTTGATCACCTGATGAGAATTCCAAGCGATAGCAAGAACCTCGGGGCTGTATCTCACCAGCAAACTGCACCTCATTGTTCCTTCACAAGAACAAAAAGAACAGCATAAGATATTTATGAGAGCCTCTTTCAACAAAACATGTACCACAACATCCATTGATCAAAAATCTACAAGCTGCACCACGAAAAATCGATATCCGCACACCTTTCGTCACAATGAGGACACTCAAAGGCTGACAACAAGATCTGCAAGGTGAGAAAAAAAATTCAGAAACAAACATACCAAATAATCATTGACACTTCCGTCTAAAATTTGTGAGTAAATTTAACATTTTAACTACAAGAAGTAGATAATGACTTACCTTCCTGAAGTGCGGAATCAAAGTCAACAAGAATCTCGTTGTCCCCTGTCACTCAATCAATCGACACAAGTCCGTATCAAAAATTCAAAATCCAAGAACTTCCATTGTAATAAATCAACGATTGTGTCTGTGCGCATTTATGTGTATTCGCATCCATACTTACATTTTCACCGCACCGCATGCAGAGGCTCTCAACCTGATACACAGGGGCGTCATCATCGTCCGTAGAAACAGCTTCAACGACAGACCTCACATCCATTATTGTTGAATCTTTTGATGTCTCCATTAGGAATCTGCTATCGAGAACGCCGATTGATAGACGAATTCACAGGAAAACAAGATTGTGGGGATTATGGAATTTGAAGACCATATGTCGATTGTGCTCTAGAACATGCAAGAAGGTTGCAGAATGTTGATTATTAAACGGAACCGGCCCATATTTTTTTTCTACTTCTATAAGTCGGCCACAAAAAGTTTTGATGGGGTGGAAACAAAATGGTTACACCAATTCCAACAATAGCTTTTTCAAAATCGATAAAATGCACGTTATATTGTATTTTAAAAAATTTACTATTATAATATTGACTAACTTTTTGATTTAAATTGAGTTTTTCTAATCCCACCCCCTCCTATAGGTGGGTTGGGGGGGGGGGGTGTTTGAGTATGTGATGGTGAGAGTGATAGAAAGTTGTGAGGGTAAATTGTGAGGGTAAGAGTAAGGGTTGGTGTGAGGAGAAGGGGTGAAAAGTGATGTAGGGGGTGGGGATATCAACCCCTTTTAAATTTATTCAATAATATATCAGGTTTTCATGTCACTTCATTATTCATATAGTTTGTCCATATGTACTACAGTGATATGACTTTCTTATTACAGTATTGTATTTTCAAAATTATTTTATTATAACATCTATTAATTCTTATTAAACAATGTACTTTTAATTTTAATATTTAAATATTTTACATGTTATTTAATAAATATATTAAATGAATTAGAAAATATCTAAATTATTCATTCATATACCAATATTAATAAAACTAGCAGAAGACAACTTATCTCGCTAATATTTTTAAAGAAAATATGTGTTTTTTTTTTTAAAAGAAAATAAGAATTGTTCTTTTTTGCCACAAAAATATTATCTTTTAAAATATATATTATATTTGTTCAAAAACTTTCACTTGACGTACAAATATATTAAATCAATTAGATTTTTTGAATTATTTATTAATATGACAATATTAAAAAATTATAAATCACAATTTATTTCGTTAACATTTTAGATAGAATTTTAAAATATATGTATTTTTTTTAACATAAAATAAGAAGTGTTACTTTTTTTACAAACAAAACTAGTTGTATACATGTGCAATACGGCGGGATGTGAAATTTTGAAAAGATGTAAGCAAGCATATCGATTACAGATAAATATTTGTATTTGAAATGGTCTGGCCTACACTATTGATTGTTTCATATTCAATTGATTTGGGAAGAACTGAAACGACCCAATAATCTATTTGATGTTGAAATTTAACAACCGATTGATTATAATTTGATGATGCATGAGATGTAGAATTATAGAACAATCTATTGATCTCAACAGAAAGCAGGACGTGACTTATCTTAAGAGTGATCAAGATTGCACAAGTCTAATAACTTCCGCTTATTATATAACACATCATACTAAAGGTTCTATCATGATATATATTCAACTTCCCGTGCAATGCGGCAGGATGTAAAGGTTCTATCAGGATATATATATATATATATATATATATTCAATTTTTAAATATAATTTTTTTTTGCAAAATATCTTAGACATAGTTGGTGGTTCACATATGTATCAAAATCCGAAAATGAAAAATTAATGCAATTTCTCTTTCAGAAAGTCTAAAATTTATGTTTAAACAAAATAGAAATTAGAATCATGTTTTTATCATACACAATCATCATTCAAAACTTCTTGATACACCACATTTGATGTGTAGACTCCTTCCTGGTTGAACTTTTTGGTAGGTTTTACTAATACCTTCGTATTACCACATGATATCCCTCTGGACAATGCCACGTAAAGTTGGTCGTGCGAGAATATCGATTCCGGTAGATAAACACCTACCACCGGAATTGTTTGTCTTTGAGCTTTCTAATCGTCATGACAAAACAAAGTCGAACGGGAAATTGTTTTATCTTTAATTTAAAGGGAAACATATCATCTTCAAACAGACATAGAGGAATTCTTGGTAAAAATACCCTCTTACCAGCATGTTGATCAATAGCTATTTCTGCATCGCTAGTATTTCGCTGAAAACCTCTACATATCAACATCGTGCCATTACACAATCTATTTGAGGGGTCGATATTCCGCAATAGTATTATCGGAGATCCAATTCTAAGTCGGAGGTAATGAGGGGGCAAACCGCTAACAGTTAGTGAGTTTAAGAATTCCATCGGATATAAGTTATTCTTGTCATCTTCTGCTTCATCAAAACTATAGTAAATTTTTTTCCTCTCCGCATAATCTTTCAATGAACTGATCATTAATTTCGTCGACATGCTCATTTTTAGTTGTTAGTATCACCCTCAAAATGATATAATTTCAAGCAGTCTCGCAAGTTTGAAGAGAATGAAAGATTGCATCAATCAAAGCATCATTCGATTCATTTTTATTTGTGTAAGGAATGGCCATGTCATCAGGTATGCGAATAAAGTTTCCGTCTACTAATTCTTCATCTCCATCGCCGACACGTAACAGAAAATCCGAAAGCCATGGATCAATAAGTGCTCTCATATTTATCGTTAATTGCAACTTTTTAATCGAAGACCAAATAGGTGACATCCGTAGGTTGAGTCTACGATATGTGCTCGAGTGTCATGTCTCATTACTAGCAACATCTGTCTAAAATCACCTCCCATAATCATTATTTTCCCACCAAATGGGAGTCTCACCCCAGTGATGTCTTGCATTGTTCTATCGAGTGCCTCTACTGCCTACCTCTTTGCCATTGGTGCTTCATCCCAGATGATTGTTTTTGCAACTCGAAGTAGTTGAGCAGTTCTGCTTTGTTTTTTTATATTGCACACCAAATTATTACTAAGAGTAAGGGGAATCTTGAATCGAGAGTGAGTTGTTCTCCCCCTAGCATGTTATTAGCGGCATCACCGGATGAAGCGGTTGCGAGAGCAATAAGTCCACGTGAACGAAAATTAGCTAGCAAAGCTCTATACAAAAATGTTTTTCCAGTCCCACCCGGTCCATCTACAAAAAACACACCTGGACAATCATTATCTACATGCCTCATGATCTCATCAAATGCATGTTTCTGGTCGGAATTTAAAGGGTTTCGGGCATGTAAGTCCTCGTCTTGCACAATTATGGAGTACTCCTCTTGTACCTCACGAAATCCTCGTGATTCTAAATTGACAACTGCATTTAAACTTGGAAGATCAAAATCATCGAGGTTTTTACCCATAGATTGTAAAAATACTGCGATGCCTGTAAGAACCATATTTCGGACTCCCTCAACATTGTCGTAGTCTCGTCTATAATCTTTAGAGTGTGAATCATAATATTCATCACATACCTTGTGAATATCTCCCGGCTCACAATAAATCAAGATCGTCGCAAATAATCGTCTAAGAGCACTGGGAAACTGAAATAAGGAGGCATCGGCAAGACAATGCGATAAATTATCGTCGATCTCTATTAAACCTCTCCCAAGAGCTGCTTTTCGAAATATCGAATGTATTATGCCATTAACCTTGTAAAGATCTTCAAAGCACATGGGCCCACTAATATGAGACAGAAGTATGCGTAGATAATATCGTTCTCCTTCGGCATGATTAACATGAACTAGTCATCCTCTCATTGATCCTTGTTTTTGAGGATTCCATTTACGTGAACTGGCATTCCATGTGTAATGTTTCGGAAAATCTTTGTATAATGTCTCGCAATCATATCTGTTCTATTTCTCTCAAAAAATGAGGTCAACATTGAGCTCTTATCCTTCTCTCTATCAACGATATCAGTCATTATATCATTCTCTCTGAACCTAACTAGCTGCTTATTTGGAAGATGGACCTGCAAAGCCATCACAGAAGGGTGGATTTGAGAAAGTGAAAAGCTAAAAATCCTCCAAATTGTCTCAGGTGGCGAAACATATCGTGCATCTTGAAATCTCTTTATCTCGTTGATAATGACCTCTTCTCTATCAGGATCGACATGAATAACCTGTTTGTCATGACCCTTGTAAATATACTTGAACACATATTTCACAAATATTATACTTGAGCAAACTTCAACATTGATGTGACAATTGAACATCATTAGCAACTTTGGATTATATGGGACCACCCATCTATTATCAAGGATATTGCCCCAGACGTTCACCTTTATTCCATTGTTTCTCTTCCGATACATCAGATATGAGTTATTTGTCTGCACCGTCTTGTCGTTGAATTGTTGAGGATATCTAAAAAAAACATTTTCTCGGCTCACCTTCCATACAAGGGCTAGACGGTCGTAAATGGCTGCAAGAACCATACATCATGTGCTTTATCACCAGCTCGTGCATTTTAGGATACTTTGTCGGGTCCGGGATTTTCAGCACAAACTATCTTGTCGTAATGGTCTGGGTTTGTAATCTTGTGTTCCGGTTTCATTATCATGAGGATATGTGTATATGGCAAACCACGTTTTTGAAATTCGATGACATAAACATATGCCCCAACCTCGCCGAGGATGTGCTTCTTGAAGAGTTGATTTTTAATATCCTCTAATTTGGCACGAAAAACTCTTGCAACAAGGTCCGGCCTATCTTGCACAGTTTGACCAAGCAATAACTCTTTAAGGATATCAAGCCACTTCGGATTACACGTCATGGTAAGGAATATATCGGGCTTCCCGTTTTCTTGAACTAAAGTCATAGCATCCATAAATCTTCTTCGCATATCACGTGGGCCTCCGATAAAACTTGTAGGAAGCACAACTCGTTGTCCAATTCTACTTGGTTGAACCTCACCGACATTGACACAATCCGCAACACCTTAGTATAAGCCTGATCTTATCTTCATTTTATTCCTTTCAATAAAAGACAAACGTGCAGTCTCTATCTTGATGTACATATCTATCATGAACTGTTAAAATAATCTTCTGCCTAATAGAATCACGTTATTACTCGACCGAATCTGGAACTTGTAACAATAATAATCTCGCATTGTTACAGTTTTCCTACCCCTTCTYGAGCTAACCTCTGCATAGTATCGATTTTGAATAGTATAGATTAATAAATGAGTGAATAAGGTAATAAATATATCTGACAATGTTCATACCTTCATGATATTCATCGAAGTTTTCGTTGTCATTAACAATTTCATCGATGCAAACTCCATGTTTGGGTATTCTAGCATGTCATCCAGACTCACCGTTGGGAAA